TTTTTTCTTGGAAACAAAGCTACAAGTATAGCTGAAAAGGCAAGAAAGTTACATTATTTACCGGTTATTCTAAAAAAAGTGTTTAATTGTCAAAAAATCAGTGCCGTACCAAAATTTTACCTATAAGTATCAAGTAGGTAGCCCCCTGAGACACCATTGGAATTAATAAATTTATTTTATTCTCACCAAAGGAAGGCCCTTATGATGACAAATAAGCCTACCCAATTTTATTTAAATCGGCTGAAAGGTTTTTGAGTAATTGAGTAATTTTTAACTTTGAAAACGAAGCAAGTTAGGACATACGATTATATGAAACAATTTTTTTTATTTTTGGCTGGTAAATACGCCCTTAAAATCTTTGCACTCAATTTTGAATCACTCTGTATATTTTTCAAGTTATTTGTACGTAGTTTGATGTTTTTTTTATTATCTTAAGTTAACATTGACTTTAAATATGAACTCGGTTTTTCATGATTAACTTAGATATAGGCAACACATTATACACTACTTACGACAAATTTTCAGTTTTTATACCTATTTCTTAACAACGTGATCATAGAAAAAATCTTGTGTGCATTTTGAGCGAAAAGTTCGTTACCTCTTTCTACAGATTGCCGCGCTCCGCTACACGTCGCGTGGCAACTTTCTGTTTTAAGCGGCAATATGTCACTTTTTGCTCTTAATACACAAACAACTATTTTCAACTTAAATTTTTGGCAACTTGTTTGTGTATTTATGAATAAAGATAAAATAAATGTATAAAAATATTTTCCCTTTCATATCAATAAAAAAAATATATTAAAGATTCCGTTAAAAATAAATTATTTAGAATGAAAAAATTGATTCACCTAATAAATAAAGCAAAGCTAAAGCTATCTTTTTTATAGTATTTTTTATGGCGCCTTAAAATAATTTTTATAAAGCTGAACCACCGTTTAAAAAAAAAACATTAAAATATCCAAGTAATATTAGGTCTGTTCCAACACGCCCGAAAACCGTAATATTACCGTACAAATTTTGCGCTGTACAGAATTTTTGGGTACAACGCACGATTTGTACGGTAATATTACGGTTTTCGCGCATGTTGGAACAAACCTATTGGTTCTTTTGGTACCATTTAGTTAATTAGTAAGAAAATATTTATGGTAGCTTGAAAAAAACTGCCATTATAACACAAAAATTTTAACCTTAATATTTTGACATATTAACAGAAATTTAAATAGGTAAGGGGAGAAAAATTATATTAGTAGATTATTTTAAAATTACCTTTCCCAAAATATGTAATTCAAAATGTATTCTTATCCCTAATAAGGTTGTTTCAGTCAATTAAGTAACCCAGTTGTAGATTGTTTCGTTACATGTATGAAAATCTATAAATTTTGAGTTGATACTTGCCTTCAAAATCGACTATCTTAAATATTAATATTTTTTGTCGTCACCATTATAAAGAGAGATCCACCACTGATCTTGTACTATTTACACATCAGTGTGATCCACCATAAAAACTGTTTTTAAAGTAGGCCATGATCGACAAAGACATAGGTACGAGTCATGTCTATCATATAGGAGTACTGAGAAGTACATCGACAGCCTCTATGAAAATTATTCTAAACCTCCCCTCCACTTGACCTAGTCATAAAGGGGGAGGCCAGAATGAATGCATTCAGGATGGACATCCCCAACAACTGGAACCCACTGGGACATATAAAACATACCAGAACATGAAGTAAATAATCCTATATTAAACATACCTAACCTTCAACCGACTCTTCCAGGTCAACTGCAACTGGAACGAGGTAAATAAGAAGGTAGAGAAACACTAACAATGGAACAGGCTCTGGCGTACACGGAGTTGAACCCAAATGCGACATCACTATCTCATTGGGAAAACATACCAATGTATTTCAGGCTGAAATACATGCAATCTAATTGTATGTACGACAGAATTTAAGAAGGAAGTACAAAAACAAACACTCTTAATTCTCTTAGATATCCAAGCAGCCTTAAGAGGGTTCTATACCCATCAGCTCCGTCAATTTCATACATAACCTCAAAATCCTCGTCCCTTACGTCTTCGCCATAACCCCCCTCCTTTTAAAGAAATTGTTAGGCAGCCTGAAATACATTTCTGTGCATTTGTGGTTGCATAGTCTACCAATTCTCCTATAAGAACATCTAGACGTACCATTTTCGGCCGTTGATGACTAACAAAATTAGATTTCTATATATAATCGGTTTTTATTTAATAAGTTTAACACGGTTTCTAGTTTTTTGAGCTTATTTTAATTATAATTACTTTTTATGAACACTTTATTCTATAGCCTTCACACATTCATAAATAGAAAAGCGTATAAATATATGTAGGTAAATATATTATTTGTTTTAGTTTTTATTTTGGAAATTTAAGAGATACTGTATTGAACAGTCTTCGTCCAATGATAACCTAATTATGCGGCCTCAAACGCTCAATATATATAATCGTACAAGTTTAAGACTTGTACAACACAAAACGTGACGTAATCCAACCAATCTTTTGCTGTTTTTTTTATTTGTACTCAACCCATAATAAAAACCACTTCTTTGTCGATTTATTAAAGTCACAGTGATTATTCTCACACAATTAGATATTCCAAAGACCTGTCATACAATAGTTGTCAGTTGGAAGGGCTCATAAATCTAAGGGGATTGCGACATAGCCTTTAATCTTAGACGCTATTTCTATTTGAAATAGTAATCGCCAAGCCTGCCAATTTATAGAAAATGCATAAACGGTTTCTATAAAAATAATATTTTCATTGTGCTTGACATAAAATATTTAAATTTAATTCATTAATTTTGATTTCACGTATTGTAAATAGACTATACATCGTATGTCGCAACCCTTTAGAGATTCCAAACCTTAGAACCGCGCTTCATTTGTTTGGAATGCCTAATTAGGCATTCCAACGACCTGTCCAAATGGCTACCAGTGGGTACTGACAGTTTAGATATGGCAACCTTGTTGTCATATTGTCATTAGCAGGGTCAATGATACATATATGTTATATACATTGCTCAAAGCTGGTTGTTTGCGAGCAGCCATATTGTCTGGCAAATATTTATTAATTTGAATCAGTTTAGCAAAAATGTGTTTTAAAACCAATTTTCAGGCTTTAGATGTTTAAAAAATAATAATTGCTTATATTTTTACTTCAAGGCATAAGCTTATGTTTATTTTAAAAATAGGGATGATCAATCTATGTAACTATCTATTTCACTCACCTTGTCAAATCACCAGGCCTACAGAGTTGCCATAACTTTGCCACATTATAACCTGTCAAAACCCACTGGTAGTCATTCAGTTTGGAATGCCTAATTTACTAATAAACATGTATTTGTTATTTGATTCGCATTCGCAATGACATTGACAACCACAGACAGATCACTTATTTTGATGACAACACATAAAATTACAACGTTGCCAAGGGTGGCATCCTTTCCTTTTATTTGCACATTACAGAATAGACAATTATTTGTTTATAAATGCGGTTTTAAACTTGGGTTTCATAATGAGCTCAAAGCCTTTTATAAAACGCCATTAGCGCCCTTGATTTTTGCTATAGGAATGTCTTTTTCTCCACTATTTAAGCAAAATCGGTACCTATTAATTTTTTCCGTTTCATAATTTCGCGCTCGGATTTTGTATTTATTCTGTAACACTACCTATTTTATAGCAATTTTATGCCCGCCCTATTTATTTTTCTGTGAATTTTGTTTTATTTTGTAATAGAAACAACTTTCATTAGAAATAATTTTTTTGTAGAAATGTATTTTAAAAACGGACTATTTCCAACGCTACTATGAGCTTTGTCTGTGGATTCACGAACTATCTGTAGAGACGGCAACACCGAACCTAAAAGCTCGAACTGAATTCAAAATTCGCCAAATATACACAATATTTATTGTTTGCCCACAATACACATACTAGCCACTAACGATATACTGACTTTCGATTCAAATTTCGTCCAAACCGCGCAGTGACGTAATTCGGGACGAACTTTCAAGTTATTTTGACACTTTTTGATTGAATAGTGTAAAATAATTTAATAATTTATTTGTTTTTGTGTTAGTAGTGACTATATTTTTTTATATATAATAGGGAAGAACTGAATTAATATTTAAATGGCCGGGCTGCGCGGTGGAGACTTGCAAAATCCATAATGCGAAATTCAAAAATAGTGTAATGTAAGATATTTTCGAATTCCAAAAAATGTGGATAAATTCTTATCATAGAAAGGACAAACTTAATTTAAACAATAATGGTTAGTAAAATGCACAAGTGTTATAGGTTTAGAGACAGTGAAAAGTTGTTAAAATATTATTTTAGCATGAAGTTGCCCTATTTACTTTGAGGAAAGTAGTAAACATAAACGCAAGAGAAGAAAACTGAATTCCACCAGGTGCATGGGGCTTTATTAAGCAAAGAAAATAGGTATTTTAAAATTTTAGCAGATTAAGCAGTAGTTTCCTGTCCCAATACAACGGTCCCTTTTCAAGAAATACTATGCAAGAGCAGGACAGGAACATATATAAGAATAAGATACATGAATAGAAAAATTAGTTTTGAATATTTTCAAAGTAAACTTGGCAAAAAAATGTTTAAATTTACCAAATAAAAAATTATTTTTTGTGTACTTGCTTTTTATAAAAAAATAATTTGTTTCTGCGTACTAAGAAAATAAATTTAAAAGGAACTACCACTCCCAGAAAGTACAAATTTCAGTCAAACTTATATTTTTAGTCCATATTTTTTATTTATCTTATCCAGGTTATGGATTTTGTCACAACATACGTAAAATTTATGAAAAAAATTAATATTTTTATTAGTATTATTTACCTTAAACCTTCATATTTGTAAACGAATATATTACTAAATAACCAATAAAGCTTAAGTAACTGCATAAAATCTAAAACCGGCGATATATCGAATTTCAAACAATATTTCCCATTTAATACTAACAATTCTGTCCCACGTGACGTCACCGTCAGTCAGCTGCATGCGCAGGAACACACCGTTATTCTGTGTATCGTGTTGTTTGCAATTTTATACATCGATCGGAAAGTAACTCTGCAATATTTATTGGTTTAGGCAACTGAACATACTTTTCGCGACTGGTGCGCCATCTGGCATAGAAAATATTTATTATCATGGTATCCAAACGTAAAAGAAGACCGTTGGGGGCAGCACCTCCCGGTGCCCTCTGAAATTTTTATGCAATGTTCAATTTTAGAAAAAACTACTTACTTTTTTCAAAAATGGTAAATACACAAGTTGTTCAGTGGCAAATGAAGAATGGCGGATGATAACATTTATACGTATATGACTTGTTATATATTTTTTTCATTTTATTTTTTTTTGTTTATAAAAAAAAGTTATCATGCGCCAATCTACGATGCATAAGAAGCACGGATACAAAAAAGATATTTTTTTTGGTGAGTATTAAGCCCGCAATTTGAACATTAACATTTCCAATATGGCGGACGGGTATAGAACCCTCTTAAAACCCTTTGATTCAAATAGAATCAAGTCAGAGATGGTCTGGAACTGCCTTAGTGGTCTGGCAACCCACAATAAGGTAAAACTAGCGTAGGTACCAGGGCACAAAGGTGTCCAAGGAAATAAAAAGGCTGATAAACTCGCACAAATTACCATTGACAGGAACCGAACTTGTATTTGGGATAAGCAAAACCTCTGATTTAACAGGCAGTGAACAGGTGGATAAACACAAAACACCAAATTCGCTAGCAACAGATAAAAGGGCACACAATCAGTAAGAGCATGCTAAGGGAACCAAACCCACGCATGGCTACTGAGGTACTACAACTTGCAAGACCTCAAATATCCACCATTGTGGGATAACTAACGGGACACTGTTTACTAAAACACCTTCATGTGATGGGATTACACAATGATCCCACCATCTATATGGAAGAGGAATAAACCTCATACCGTGTGATCTTCAAATGCGAAGCTCTTGCTAAGCGGTATCTCACCCTTTTCGGTCTAGAACCGGAAATAACGCCCCAGGAACACTTGCTAAGGAACTTATTGAAACTAACCAAAGGCGTAGGACTATTCCAAAGATAGTACCTGAATACGGGTAAAGCAGGGGAATACAACAGACCCAAGAGGCCGCAGTGTTCTGGGCCAAACCTAACCCTACCTGCTTATAACCGACAAAGATAAATGTCTGTCTACGCACTGGTGTGAATTAAAAACAAATTGACACCTAAAAAGGGAAAAATTGTATGATCAGACATATGTGAATTTTTCTAAGGCCTACTTTAGAAAAAGACTACTTTGGCTTTTGCTGTGTGAATCACTCGCTACCACATACTTTGATTTTCTTTTACTATACGGAGAATGGTCGCACTGCGCAGCTTTCTGAGTGCCTTTTAAAAGGAGATAGAAAACTCCGCCCTTATTACGTGTTGCCTACATCTTGGCGCAATATTTTTAATAGGTGCGTTTTAATCATCCGCTTCTGCTTCGGAATTGTCGGTTTTCTTGTTTTAATCTGACAGGTTAGAACGACTGAACCGACAATTCCGGAAGCAGAAGCGAATGATTAAAACGCACCTGATATTTTGCTTGCTGCTGTCAGTGTCAGTGAATATTATTTTTGGAGTCACAGTTTATTGCTAAAGAATCAGTTAGCTCACTCGGACCAGTTGAAAGTTCCAAAATAACATCCACTCCAGGGATACAAATTCAGAATACGCAGAAGACTGCTGTTTTATTATAGGCGGTTGTAATATATTGTATTATCTGAGTTGCGTAGTGTATAAACTGGAACATTGAGATAAAAAGTGCCGACGCAGAGTGAGCGATCTGATTCTTTAGCTATAAACTGTGTCACAGGGTTCAAAATGGCCGCGCCCTATGTTGGGCGTGTCGGACCTCTCTCTTGCCCCGTATAGTAATCAAAGTATGTGCTCGCTACCATCAAGATAGAAGGAAGTAGAGATGATATACACACTATTTTGCGTTGACAGATGGAACACTTCGAGTGATGGAAAAGTATAATCAAAATGGCGACTTAAGAGTCGTACTTTGATTTATTTGAAATCAATAATTTTATACTTGAAGATTGGAGAAAATAAAATATTTTTATATCATTTAAATAAAGCTATTTAAAAAACATGGCATTTATTCTCACGTAAACGTCAAAGAACTACTACATTAATCCATTAATTCATAATTGAAGACACAAGTGGATGAAGAGCCTATGTAGCAAAATTTTACCAAAAGAACCTTACTTCAGTCTAACCCTGATTAAGTACCTCAAATATTTAAATTTATTTCGAACATAAAAAACATTTGGTACTATCACATAGAGTAAATAAGACAAAAGATTACATAACAAATATTGGTTTTGTAATCAAATATTTTTAACAATACGTCTTTATTATTTTTGGCTAGGATTTAATAATTTTCTAAAAAAAACTATTTATTAAATAAAACGTGAAAGAATCAATAAAATTTGAAACTTAATCCTTATTACTTGTTAAAAATATTTTATTGCAGCCATATAGTAATAATTAGATTATTTACCATTATCTATACGATATTTTCAGAATCGATATTTTCGAGAACAAATGTAACTTTACACGAAATATTTTATTACTAAAATAAGATATTCACATAACAGGGTGCGGCATATGTTGATAAAATATGGAGTATTTTAATTGTTTTTTTTTTATTTGGTGTCATCGGCATCGACTACTAAGGCCATTAGCCTCGTGTTCTGTGTAGGCTTTGTTCCTGTTTCCCAGTGCCACAGGAACAGCACTGTTAAATAGAACCCAACAGTGAATGGTCGAGTGGGGAATCTTACCAAGGCATCAGAATTCATTTTAAATAATTAAATAAAAAAATCCCGGCCAACGGTGGGATTCGAACATGGGACCCTTGGATCCGCAAGCAGAGACTCTACAACTGAGCCACCTATCCCCTTCCATGAGAACATTAATCATTATTTTCTATATTCAATGTTAAATAAAAAATTAAAATTTTCAGGGTGTTCATTTGACAAAAAAACAATTTATACCTTTTATTTTCTTCGAATGGGACGTATGCGATCTAGCATTTCAGTAAAATTAACTGTCTGCTATCTAACTATATTATTACGATTTCCAAGCTGAGTTAGGTGTTGATTAACATATGCTTCAAAAGATATGAAAGTAATTTAGGGACAATGCACAATGGGCTTATGTTAAAAATCTTTAATTAATGATATTAATATTATATTAAAAAAAGAGTTTCTTGGCAGATCTTATTGCATGAGTATATGAATTGAGTTTTTTTATATTTTGCGGTATTTTTGCCATTATGAAATTCTATTATTTTATTTTGCGTTTTTTAGAAGATACTCCAAACTTGTTATTGCATTAAGAGTTTATGTTATTACATTTTTAGAATTTGTTATTAATAAAAATAGTAAACTGGTCTGGCAGTTGTCTTGGACAAAGCTATCACTAACCTTCATAACATAATTCTTGTAGTTCCAGTGTTCTTACTAACTGACAGTGTATGTGCCGCACCCTGTATAAACAGTTATACAGAAACGTTCACAAAATGAGTTCAGCGCTATTTAGGTCTAGACAGATCTTACTTCGAAATTAATATGAGATCCATATTGGCTGGAATTCGATCGGTGTTGATGGGGAAGCAACGTTGTACCATCCTTAAAAAAGTGTAAAAGAAAAATAGCGACTACAGTAACTAGAAAGCCGCATGTGGCCCCCAAGATATCCGTGTAGTTCATGTGTTGCCATTCCTCGAACAAAATGGCAGAAGCGAAGATAACCAAGGTGGTGAATAGGACGTAGTATATTGGCGTTACTATCGTTGTATTGAATAGATCTAGAGCTTTGTTTAGGTAGTTCATCTGAATGCAAATGCAGAAAACTACTATGACGAAGAGAAGTATTGGTAAAAGAATGTTATGTTGGTCTTGGTAAGGTGTTACTAAAATAAAAACTGTATCTTAGATTAACAATATAACATCAAATTTTTAGATATCGATAATGTGAAGCAATATAATGAAAAAATCAAATAAAAATACAGGATGAAAGTAGAAAATATCGGTTAATTATCCACAAAAATATTTCTAAAGTAGACCAGAACGACAAAGGCAGATAATACTCATGTCCTTAATACGACACGACAAAAAATTAAACTGATTATTTAAAAGAAGAATAATTGTACGCTCCGACATATGTGAATTTTTCAACATACTTTAAAAATATTGTTTGTTGATCATTCAATAGAATTTACCACTAATGTCTGAACAGCGTATGGCAAATTGACATAATACAAGTATTAAAAATAATTTTAAAAAACCGACTTCAAAATCGTGCAGATGCCATCACCACATTTTAACAAAATTTATATGGGACTTCTGAGGTATGCCCTTACTAATAAACAAGTATTACGAATTAAAAATTCAAAAAAACCGACTTCAAAACCGGGCAGATGCCATCACCACATCTTAGCCAAATTCATATGGGACCACCCCTGAGGTACCCCCTTACTAACAAAAAAAAAATCGTATAAATCGGACAAGGTGGTAAAGCATTATCTCTAAACATACATAAAAAATGAAGAGTTTGAGGATTTTCTCATTATTCCAATTATTAGATTTTGACCAAATTTATATGGGACCACCACTAAAGTAGCCCCTTTCTAACAAAAAAAGAATTATTGAAATCGGACACCGTATTAAAAAAATATCGCTGAACATACATAAAAAATGAAGAGTTTGAGGATTTTCTCATGGACTCAATTATTAGATTTTGACTAAATTTATATGGGACCACCCCTGAAATACCCCCTTTCTAACAAAAAAAGAATCATTAAAATCGGACACCGTGTTAAAGAATAATCGCTGAACATACATAAAAAAAAAAAATAATATCGCGACGAATTGATAACCTCCTCCTTTTTTGAAGTCGGTTAAAAAAGAATTATAGAAATCGGACAAGGTGGTAAATTATCGCTAAACATAATTAATGAAGTCTGTTAAAAATAACGGTGGATTATTATTTATTTTGACTTTGTCGTTGTCACCAAATGACCTATGGTGCGTTTGATTTGATCATCGGAGATCTCCGAGCGCTGCAAACGTGTTTGAATTAACACTCCGAGAGATCCCTAAAGTGTTTGTTTCGCTTTGGAGCGAGAACATAGAGCGAGCTCGATGTTCTCAGAGCAGAAAGATCGAGAAAAGGGGGAAATTTGTCTTTGTCTCTACCTATCTCTTTTTAATTAACTTACAAACAAATTTGAATCTCAAAAAAGTCAACAAATTACTTAGCCGCTTTTGTCTTATAGCTAAAATTATTCATCATAAAAAAACACAAAATGTGTGTTTGGAAAATACATTTTTTCTGTCCAGGTCTAATCACCAGTAATCACAGTCATGGAGTATGAGAGCAAAGCGGGCATTTGTGGTAAATGCTGCATTTCAGGGCCATTACCCCCTTATTATTAAAAGTTTTTCCATTTTCTTTACTTTTTGCTCACTATTTTAACATACAAACCAGAAACAAGAATGACAGAAAAGCGAGGTTATGTTTTTTACTGTTTTATTTGATTTGATTCAATGCTCTATTGTGACGTCGTCACTTCTCGGTCTCCTCGACGCTCGCTCGATCGAGTTTCAAATCAAACGCCCCTCTAGTAAACTGTAAAATATTAAAATAGAGAAGAAGAAATAACAAAATCACCGAAAAATATTTCCACCCAAACAGCAACCTGCATATAAGCAGGTATGTCCACACCTTCTCCTAAAGTTCCCACAGCCATCAGAAATAAATCACTGCACAGTAAAATAGTGGGAAGTAATTTGTAATTTCTTTCTAATCAATGATATTACAGAGGCGTGGCACAAAATTGATCGAACATTCAATCACCCATTTTAATTTAAGTAGTAAAATATGCATAAAACAAACAAATACATAAAAAAAGCATGATTTTGAAATAATATAATAATAAAATTATTGAACAAGGAATAAATTTAATGATTATATCGCCAAAAAGAAAATAAAGTATGATTATTTCTATAGAACCAAAAACATGTAATATAAAATTAAAAATCTGTTAAAAAGTCGATACGTTTTTGAGATCATATTTCATTTTAATTATTCTTTGTTCGTCTTTTACATTCAACATTGGTGCGTCTCAAATATGGAGAAAAACTTTAGATGCTGTCGTCTAAAGGAGTTTACAAATTATTGCTGTATAGTTTGCCAAGGCATCTTTCATCCCAGCTGTCTGGACCGTAACAACGAGGTAGTTAGGATTAAAGGGTACAAAGTATACTGCTCTGGAAGAGGATATCCAGAAATTTAAGGTTGACTTAGCTGATAAAAACAATTATATAAAGAGACTGAAACGTCAAACAGCTGATTTTACAGATGCCGCTTCAGATGTGGAACAGGATCTAAACTCGCGACTTATTGAACAAACAGATCGAACAAACGACGTGAAAAAGGAGGACATAATCTTATTATCAAATTTATAAATGGATGTCCAAACATAATTAGTTTGAATCCAAAAAACTAACCAATCAGAGCCCACCTTTTATTAAGTTCTTTCCTAGCTCCATTTACTACCAAAACGTTAGAGGATTAAGAACAAAGCTAAGTAAACTTATTTCTGATGTAGCAACTGTATCCCACGAAGACTTTTTTTTTTTCACCGAAACTTGGCTGAGAGAAAACCTTAGTGATGCCGAACTTGGATTTGAAAATTTCAACATTTACCGCAAGGACAGATCTGCACAAACCAACTCATCCTCCAAAGGAGGTGGAGTTCTTACAGCAGTTTCCAAATCTATGCGAAGTAGTTTGCTCAACTCTTCACAAGAAATTGAACAGTTATTTGTCCTCATAGGCAATGGTAAATGTACTCTTATTTTAGGAGTTGCTTACTTTTCTCCAATGTCACCAAATGATAAATATGTTTTGTTCACTGAAAACTTGGATAATTTGTCAGAAACGTATCCTCGTGCACAATTTTGGGCGACTTCAATTTACCTAAGGCCACATGGATCTCAAATAATCTATGCCCAACTCTTCCTTGGTACCTGGAACTAGAGCTGATGAAACTGCTGCGATTAATACTATCTCCAATATGTGCGCTTTTCACAACTTTTTTCAGAACAATGCAGTTCGGAATGATTACAATACTACTTTAGATTTAGTTTTTTCTTATCAATCTTCAACAACCTCCTCTATCGCTAGTGATGCTCTAATTAATGTCGATAAATATCATCCCCCGTTACTTATACACTTGAACCTTGCTGTAAATTATTGTAACTCGTAACATGTAGCTAATCAGTATTATTATGATTACAAATTCGCAGATTTTAGATCCATTGAACATCATCTGGGATTAATTCAGTGGGATTCACTATTATTAAATAAATCACTTGATAAAATGGTAAATATTTTTTACGATTTTGTGTATTCCTTTGTACCATTGAAAAAATTATCCACTCGACGATTTACCAGATGGTTTTTACCTGAATTGAAAAATCTCATAATTCTAAAGGAGGCACACCTTAGATTTAAATTTAGTGGATCTTCTAACGACTACATAGTATTCTCTAACTTGCGCTCTCAATGTAAACTTAAATCTAAACAGGATTACAATGATTACATTAGACTTACTGAATCATCTGTTGGTAATGATAGTAAAACATTTTGGAATTTTGTTAATTCAAAAAGAAAAGGTAATGAGTTACCCAACGAAATGTACTATAACAACACTAGATGCTCTATGGGTACAGATTTAGCTAATATGTTTCAGGATTACTTTAGCTCAGTCTATATAGCAATCAACCATGCCATAATTATGATACACCATATTCAACCCATTTAAATGTTGCAAATTATCAAATATTTATTTCAGAAATATTTGAACATCTGAGCTGTTTAGATATGAGTAAGGGATCAGGTCCTGATGGCTTGCCACCTTCCTTATTGAAAACTTGCTGTTTTGTTATATCCCGTCCACTGCATATTATCTTTAATGTTTCGATTCATAATGGAATGTTTCCTAATTACTGGAAATCAAGTTTTACTGTACCGATTTACAAAACAAGCGACAAATAAAATGTAACTAATTACAGGCCAATATGCATTCAAAGTGTGATTCCTAAACTCTTTGATGGTATTATTACAAAGAATTTAACGAAACTGCTTGATCCTTTCATAATAGATCAGCAGTTTGGTTTCCGTTCCAAAAAGTCCACTGAACTTAACCTGTTGTCGTATGTTGATTACTTATCGAATGCCTTGGATTCTAATGATCAAGTTCATGCTATATACACTGATTTTTCAAAAGTATTAGACAGGGTTAACCACAGTTGCTTGATTGGAAAGCTTAGTAACTTGGCATTGGTGGTAATCTTCGGAAATGGATCAAATGCTTTATAACAATCCGCATTCAAATTGTTCGTGTTTCTGGCTTCTCATCCTCTGGCTTTACCGCTACATCTGGTGTCCCTCAAAGGTCACATTTGGGACCTCCACTTTTAATATATATAACAATGACATCCAAAATTGTTTTAAGAATTCTCAGTTCCTTTGCTTTGCTGATGATTTAAAATTATTCATGCGTGTAAATTCCTTACACGATTGTATTTGCCTTCAAAAAGACTTGGATAACTTTGTCCAATGGTGTAGTACTAATGGAATGGAATTAAATACAAGTAAATGTCATGCAATCAATTTCAACAGAAAACATAGTCCTATTGAATATATCTATAAAATCAATGACATAACACTGGATACTATTACAGAGGTAAAAGATTTGGGTGTGATATTAGATTCCACCCTTTCTTTTCAAACTCATATAACGGCCTCAGTTAATAAAGCATTTAGAATGTTGGGTTTCCTTAGAAGAACTACTTCTGATTTTCATAATGTGATGTGTTTAAAGATTCTTTATTGTGCCTTAGT